ACTCCTTGGTCAGGTATAGCAGCCGCAGCCCGTCTTGGCCGACGCAGGAATCGAACAGCTGCGCGCGTACCTCCGCCGGTACTTCTTCACCAAAGAAGATCAAGTAGTAGCTCGAGCAGCAGAGCAAGTACACGCCGTCAAGCGTCACGAAACTGCCGGAGTTGGGCACGCTCGGCGGCAACCAGCATATGCCGCTGCGCCCGCTCGGCAGGCCGAGGTTCGCGTAGCGGTCTATGCAGTTTTGCTGCAGCAACGGAATCAAAAACGGGTACAGCCGCTCGAGCAGCTCGCGCAGTCCCGCCTGCTGCAGCTCCTTCTTCGCGAGCAGTGTCTGCGGCGCCGCGCCCGCAAAGTTGCGCACGAATCTGTGCTTAAGCAGCGACTGCACGTAGCAGATCATGCCGCGAAACGCTTCCGGGATCACGAGCTGCTTGAAGCAGCAGTAGGTGGGCACCTGCATGCGATAGTTGCTCAGTACCTTGCTGACCTGCTGCAGAAGTTCTTTGCGCGCGTCCTTGCCCTGCGCGAGCTGCTCGAGAAGCCAGTGCGCGTAGTAGAACGTGAGTGCTTCGTAGTCTGCAGACTTGTAAATTTTTTCAACCGAGTCCGAAACCTCCAGCGCGCAGTTCAGCGAACGTGTGTAGCGGTTCCCGTACACGTCGGTGAACGCGACACGAACTTGAATCGGCACGCGTTCGATGCCGGCCTTGTGGTCCAGCTCTAGAACTACGAACAACGACTGGTCTTCTGCGAGGCTCGTTACATAATCCGAGCGAGACGCCTCCGGCCCCGCGAGCTGTTGCCAAGGCACATACATCTTCTTGACCGTCGCGCCGCGGCCCGCAAGCACTTTGACGCGCACCGAGTGTCGCGCAGACGCAGTCAAACAGCCTTTAAGTTTGTTGAACAGCTCTGAGAAGTGCACCGCTGGCGCAAAGCGCTCAACGTGGGTGAACGCGCCCCCAGAGCCGACGCAAATATCCACGATCTCCTGCACATGGTGATTCATGCTCAGCGCGCCGCCGCTCAGCACGTGCACGTGGGCGGACGCTTCGCTGCGATACAAGTTTTGCGTAATCGCGCGCGCATAGGAGCTCACGTTTGCGGCCAGCAGCGTCTCAGCGTTTAGCCGCACCACCGAGTTCACGCCCTTTAGGCATTTTTTGCCAAACTCAGAATTCGCGCTCGACTTGAGCGTGTTGTCCAACACCACGCCTAACTTACGCGCGGCGAGCGCAGTAGAAAGTGTGATTTCCTTAGTGGAGTCCGCCAAGCTCTGTTTTTTGAGTTTTTCAAAAAAGTCTGCGCGCGTTTGGCGCGGCGTGAGCAGATCACTGGACGCAAGCGATTGGCAGTCCGAGGCTCCGGCGAAGCTCGGAACCGCCACGCACTCCTTTGCCGCGGCGGTCGGCAGACAGCTGCAGAAGACGTTCACGCTAGCAAACGGACGTGCGTGCGGGCGTGCAAAAATGCGCAGTGCGTTCGCCAGGTACGCGCACTGGTTCACGCAGTTTAGCAGTCCGTCGCCGAGCTCGCAGTGCGTGCCAAACGCTTGGTTGTCGCGGAGCTCGGTCTCCAAGTGGCTGCGGAGCGCGCCGAGGTAGGCCGCGAGCCGCGCGGCCGACTGCTCGGGCTCGCGCTCGAAGTTGAGCCGCAGGAAGAACTGGTTCTTTGCGTCAATCTTCACACAGCAGGCGGAGCCGAACTGCCCGACGTGCGTGATGCAGCCGTCACTGAATTCCTCGTCGCGGACGCCAAAGATGGTGACGAGCGAATTGAACACGACAAGACTGAAACGCACCTCGCCCGGCCACGTCTGCGCGGCGAGCGGCAGGTAGCGCAGCAGCAACTCGCTCAGGGAGATCTGCTCGCTCGCCGCGCAAACCTCGAGCGCGACGATTACGATGCTGAATGGGGCGCACGCTGCGACATCCGCGGGCGCGGCGTGGCTGAAGTCGACGGTGCCGAGCAGCGCCTCCGGCACGAAGGGCGGCTGCTGCAGCTGCGCGAAGGCGACCTTCAATTCCTGGCTTGCGGCTAAGCTGTTCAGAAAGTGCGTAGCGTCGCCGACGCAGCGATTGTGCTCACGCAGACGCGCGGCGTAGTTGGGGCTCAGCGCGCAATCGCTGCCGCAAAGGTTGCAAGCCGCGGAGTTCATGCCGAACGCGAAGCCGGGGTTTACCGCTGCGCCGCAAGCGGCGCAGCCCGCAGCCCACCGATCGCGGTGCCGTGCGAGCGCCGCGGCGTCTGCGCCGCGCTCCGGCACGTCGAACTGCTCAGCCTCGTAGCGCGTGCACACGGGTGTCGCCTCGAATGGGCCCGTTGGCGGAAACGGCGTGACCAGCAAACCTATCGGCACGCCGGCAAACTTGCTGGCACTCGCGCGGCTCGGCACGGTGCGCAGCGTGGGCCGCAAAAACTTGCAGGAGCTCTGCTCACTCTCGACGACGGTTGCGAACGCTCGCTCGCTGCAGCAATCGCGAAACACGCGCGTGCCTTCCGCGGAGTCAGTCTGCGCGGCTTCAGTGTGCGTCTCGGGACGCGGCAGCGTCTGTATGTTGACGCGGGTCTCCGTGCGCGGCACGAGCTGCTTGGATCTCACACTGGCGTCCGCATTATTCATGCCGCAGAGCTCTTCCGCCAGCGAGTCGCTCGAAAGTCCGCATTAATTTAAAATAAATTGATCGGAACTGGCACTCAAATATTCGGCAGCGCTCAGGCCTCCGAGTCGGAGAACTCGCAGTCAACGCTTTTGCACACGGAGAGCGTGCTGTTCTTCTTCTCGCTCGCGAGAATCTTGGCCTGCAGGTTGTCTTGCTTGCTAAACGAAACGTTCTTCGAAGCGAGCAGGCAGAGTTGCTTGCACTTCTCGATCTTCTCGGAGAGCGTTTGCTCCAGCGCACTGAGACCCTTGCTTAGGGAGGCGCTGTGCGAGTCGAGCACCAGCTGCTCGGAGTCGAGCGAGGCGCAGATAGCGCCGTCAGCGATCGCCTGCATGATCACGGAGACCGTTTCGTCGAGGCCGCTCAGACAAAGCATGCGTTGGATGTCCGCGAGCGCGAGCCGGCAGTAGGCCTTGTTGATGCGGATGAGCCCGCGGCGCACAACGGTCGAGTAAAGCCGCTCGACCGGATTCTTGACCTCGTACGCGCAGAACACGGCGGCGTACTGAGCGGAGACACGTTTGAACTCTTCGACCTTGCCGTCATAGACCGCGAGCGTCAGTTCGAAAAATGCGCGCATGACGCCGTGCGCTTTGAACGCCGAGAAGCGGTCGAGGCTCGGAATTTGCGCGCGGCTGAGCTGCGCAACTACAAGCTTCGCGAAAACCAGTTGCGCGAAGCGCGAGCCCCAGTCGCTCTTCGGCAACTTAAGCGCTACCTCGTGCAGCCACTCTTTCGCTTGCTGGCACTCGCCGCCGACCAGCGCGAGACAGCCTTTGAAGTACATGTGCTTGCAGATCTGCTCGTAGCCGCGCACGTTGGCGGGAAAAGTGGTCACCTCTAGAAGCGTCTGCGCCTCGTGGTAGTTGTGCAGCGCGAGGTGTGCGAAGACGGCTTGGTTCACGATCGTCGCGACGCAATTGTCGTTCTGCTCGCGCTGCCGCAGCTTGTAGTGGTTCATCAGCAGCGCGACAGAGGCGCCGTGCGCGTCGTGCGCCTGCAGCAGCCGCGCGAGCACGAAGAAGAGCATGCTGTCGAGCACGTCGTCTAGCGTTTCTGCGCCAAAGAGAAAGGCGTCGACGGCCGCAACGTACGCCGCGTAGTGCTGCGCTACAAACCGGCGAGCGCTCTCGCGCGCGCGCTCAAAGGGCAGCACGAAGCTGTTCAGCATGTAGTGCCCGAGTAGCAGCAGCGCGAAGCGCTGCTGCTGCTCCTGTGCGACCGCGGCGAGCAGCGAGCGTACGTCCTCCAATTCGCCCGCGCGAGCCGCGCTCGGCGTCAGCGGCTCCGAGAGCTCGTCGAGCACCTCGGCAATGTCGTCTTCCGGTTTCGCCGCGCCCGCCTCGCCGGCTGGCGCGAGCGCCGCCAGCTCCGGCTGCGCGCAACGTGCGAACTGCTGCAGCTCAAGCATGAAGTCAGCGCCCGCGAGTGCGGCAAACGTGCTCGCGACTTGCGGGTCCGACACGCAGCGACTCACTTCGGCAACCACTTCCGCGTCGAACTGCAGCCGTAGCGCGCGGAACAACCGCTCGAAGTGGTGCATCGTTCGCAGTGCCGGTTGGTCGACTTCCGCGCTCTGCAGCAGCCGCAGCGCGGCCTCAACTGTCTTGTGGAAACTGCTCATGCGCGCGGCTAAGCCATCAGTCGCGGGCGAACAAAATTAAATATTAAAAGGCGAGATTACAGCAATTTTCGATTTGATTCCGCGTTCCGTCGACCAACTGTCTGCGCACTTTCGCGATGAGCAGCCTCACCGAGCGCTTCCTGAACCTGGTCGAGCCCACGGTCGAGCCGTTCCAGCTGGTGCACGAAGCTAAGCTGCCTCGTGAGCGCGCGCACGCGCTCGCGCAGCTGCGCGGCTTTGCAGAGCGCGCAGGCGCTGCGGCGCTGTTGCGCGCCGAGCCCGCGCTGTTTGCCGCGGCCGGCGAGTCGGACGTGGCCGCGCGCGCGGCCGCGCTCGCAGAAGCCAACGCGCACGTGGTTGCGGAGTTCGAGCAAGCGCTCGTTGTGGCCGCTGCGCAAAGCAACGACTCTCAGGAGATCGACTTGCGCATTTCGCTTGGGAACTTCTATTGTCAGACGCACGAGTTCGAGGCGGCCGAGGCGGCGCTCGACACCGCACTCGCGCTGAAACACGTGGACAACACGACGCGGCTGCAGGCACTGCTCGCGCGCTTCCGCATCGCGCTGTTTGCCGGCTCGCCGCAGCAGGCGGAAGAGCGGCTCGCCGCCGCGGAGCAGCAGTTCAAGGAGAGCGCCGACTGGGAAAGCAAGAACCGGCTGCTCGTGTACCGCGCGCTGCTGCTATGCCGCGACCATCGCGACCTCAAGCGCGCCGCGGATCTGCTGGCACAGTGCACGAACACGTTCAACGCGCATGAGGTGCTAGACGTCCAGAGCTTCGTACAGCTAGTCGTGCTGCTCTGCGCACTCACGCGACCACGCAAAGCCGTCGAAGAGCTAATCCAGCAGAGCTCGCTGCTGAGCAAGTCGCTGCTGTGCATGCCCGCCTTCAGCAACTTCGTTGCGAGCTTCGTCGAGTGCCGCTACCAGTTGTTCTACCCGAATCTGCTGCTGGTCTGCGAGCAGCTGCGCCGCTGTCTGTACACCAGCCAGCAATACAAGTTTTACCTGCGCGAATCGCGCCACGTAATCTACAAGCAGTTCTTGCGCGCGTACCAGTCGATGCACATCGCTGAAATGGCACGCGCGTTCGCCGTCGGCGAGCAGTTCATCGAGGACGAGGTGGTCAGCTACATCGAGAGCGCGCAGCTGCCCTACGCCATCGACAAGCCGCGCAACATCATCGTGTCGAAAGCGCAGCTCGCGCGGCTCTCCAGCGCGGACGCGTTCGTCGCCAGCGCCGACGATCTGATGAACAAGATCCAGGTGCTCTCCAAGATCATCATGATGTAGCCGCGCCGCTCGTGTTTCAACGAACGCCGCGACCTCTGCGCGTCACAACGCCGCTTTCGATTTCTGCCGACACCGCGCCGCAGCGCCCCCCCCAGCGAGCCAAGATGCTGCAGTCGGTTCATCGACCGCTGCGGCGCAGCGTTGTTTCTGACTTCCATAGTACTCCGTGCTCCTTTTACGTTACAGCGCGTCGAATAGTTGCGCGCGCATGCATAACAGTGGCCGCGACTTCGTGTTGCACGAGTTCGCACAGCTTTCTCACGGCATCAATGCGATAAAAACAAAAAGCTCCAGTTCCGCGCACGATGACGGTACACATCCAGCCCTGAGCGCGCTTTGCTGCAAACTGCGCAACTCTCTAGCCGTTTCCTCCGAACACCACAATGCGACTGCTCCGTTTTTGTATGCCTGATCGCTCTTGCGATACCCTCAGCACTCGAGGTTGCAATGTCCCGCAGTGACTGTACATTTGCTGCAAGTGCTGAGCGTGAGTCCTAAGCGCCGCCTTCCGGCTGCACCTAGGAGGCTCGCTCGGCGATGTTGGAATGTGTACTGATATCATCAGATGCGCGCGGTTCCGCTCAGCGTCTCAATGTAGGACTATGTCCAGAAGCTGATCTTCAACACTGCAAGCAGTGTCGTCAAGCCGACCATCGAGACGCTTCGCCACAGGAAGTGGAAGCTCGGCGGAGTTTACACTACACAGGCACAGCACCAGAGTTTTTACCACATGGTGCTACACCCCCGCCTGCAAACTATACCAGATATTTGTAAAAGTAATGCTAAGATAAAAAACACGCACTCACGCTATTCCGGGTCACGGCAGAAAACGCTTGTTACTGGCACATAGGTTGATGCTGCTCGTTAGTTTCAACGAACACTGCGCCCGCCCCCCCCCAGCTCGCCACAGCGTTGTTGCAGTCCTTCGTAGTACAACGCACGCCTGCCGAGGCACAACGCCTCTCGCTGCTTCAAGTTGACACCGCATCTCGGCGCAGCAAACCACTGAACACTTTCGACGGCATTGCGCCTCCCTGCGTGCCGAAACGCTGCGCATCCAAGCATAGTAAAGGCCGCGGCCTCGCGCTGCACAGGCGAGCCTAGACCGCGGCTCAGCGCGGCTCGACCTTAGAGTGACCGCGCGCTGCGTTTTGCAACTCGCTGCACTTGAGACTTCGCTTCGCTTTTGCCTTGAGTTAGACAGTTCTCCGCCGATTCGAGTGACTGCTTCCGTTGCTCCGAGCTTTTTCGCGAAGGTCGCGCCTCAGGGAAGCGCGCGAAATGCAAGCGTATTACCCTTGTCGCTCGTGCGGAGTGACTCAAAAATACTAGCTCGGACTGCGCGCTTTGTTCGCCGCAAGGGTGCGGCACTGTGCTCAGCGGTCGACTTCGACGATCAGTCAAGGTCTGTGTTCACCAAACAGAATCCCGACCAATTTCCGAGGAAGCAGATATGTCGAGCCTCGTTAGCAACATGCTCAAGCGTAAACATCACAAATCACGACAACGCCGTGCAGGCGCAAGCAACGCCGCAGCAGGCTGCCAAAGTTCGTTCAGCCACATTACGCGTCGCACATCTGTCATCCCGCAGCTGTGCTTCTTCGTCAAAAACGCGTGGCATTCCAGACTTAGTCTGTCAGCGTTTTGAAACGGCTTATCTAGCGACTTGCGCGCCACACAGCTCTTTTTCAAAGCGCAGCTTTACGTGCGCCGCCCGCTTTCGCGTGATTCGAACTCGAGACATAGACGCGCGATTCGCAGCTCAAGGCGCGACGCATCGCCACTCTTCAAAAGGGCGAGTCGCTGCAAAACACTTGAAGCGCCCTGCCACAGAGAATGCTCTAGCTTGCCGCGTCGAGTTCGCACGAGCTACTCATTTAAAGCTGAGTCACGCCAGCAAAGCTTTGCGCGCTACGCCTACCGGAACGCATCACGTTACGGCTTCACACCGCTATCAAGAATTGCGGCATCAACCTGACTGGCGCTGCAGCGAGCAACATGCTCTGCCGGATCCAGCTAAAGCGTTAAAGCAACTGGGGCACGTTGAGCCTGTCCCCAGTCATCGGCTGTAAGCTCAGCGACTCAGTACGGGATACAGCACAACGTGTGTTTCTCCAACAGAAGAACCGCCGAAGAAGCTACTGTTGAAGCGTTTGAAAAAAAAACGGAAGGGCTTAGCGCGGCGAGCCTCCGCTCGCGGCGCCGCGCGGGACGCAAGCTGACCAGCTAGCACAACTGCCGCGCCGCGACTAGGCCGCGCCGTCGCCGTTCTTCCGAAAGCAAATCGTGCACGGTCCGCAGCTCTGCATAGTGATGTCCATGTGGTTTCCGAAGTTGCCGCGGAAAATTTTCTCAGGTGTGTAGAGCTCGCCGAGTCGCGAGAGCATGCTTTCGTATAACACGCGACTCTCTGCCGCGGGCAGTGAGCAGTGGAAGTTCGGCTTGCTGCCCTTGCTCGTCAGCGCGGCCAGCGTGAACTGCGAAACCAGCAACACCGA